ACAAGATCATATGAATTCTTGTCATAAGGTCTTACAAGACCTTGTCACTTCTCATAACCAGATCTTGGGGGATCTTATAACAAGAAGTTACAAGATTCCATAAGATCTTATATTATCTTATAATAAGATCTTGTATGATCATATCGTAAGACGTTATTACAAGATTTCACAAGAAAACATCAGACCTTGCAAGATCTTACAAGACGTGTTTCACCTGGGAATGAAAGATAGGAACTATCAAACACCAGAATTAGACTGGGACTGAAGAAACGTTGAGAACATCAGTAAAGATGATGAATATGTAAGGTCCAGCGAAAAGTGGACGTAGGTTGTACAAAAAAATGTGCGTCATTCTATACAAGATTTAACGCTTAAATATGTCTTTCAAATAGCGAAACGACACACTAGCATAGTGCTATCAGTATAACAAAAGGCAATCAAGAAATATCGTGTACGGATACATGAAGACGCAGAAGGAACCTTCTGCGCAATCTGTTGCGCAAGCACAAAAATAAAAAGTGTTACGTGTGGTGGATGCATACGAACTGCAAACCCAAAGTAATAAGTAATACAAAAAAAAACCCAAGGTCTAACACTACCACAGTGTCGACGGTATAGGCGTAATCGCCTGTATGAGTACCCGAAATGTGGGCTACTTAAAAAGGATACAAAACAACCGAGGTCTAACACTATCACAGTGTCGACGAAATGTGAGCCACTTTAGTAAGGAATTTTTTTTTCTGAAACGATTTGTAAATTCATCGTTCTAGAAATCGTTTCAGAACTTGTGGCACACCCTTTATATCTTCAGAGTGTCGCACTGGTATTATTCAATGCTGCTTGATTTTTACCAATGAATTTTTTTTTGTAGAACAGTAATTAGTTTTTATTATAGATCCTTTTACTTGATTCGTATTGATGAATGTGTGATACCGGTTGGTATCAGTGCCGTATGTTTATATAGACCAGAGACGCAGAATCTACTCGTAAGAACGAAACACTTTTCTGATGGGTTTCCAGTAGTGTCAGAATATTTTCTTCTGCAATTAGCTTTCAGCAAATATGTTACTTTTTTAAAGTTTTTGTAAAAGATTTCAATGTTAAACAAAAAGTATCCTTCCGAACTGATGCTCATCCATGTAGTATCAGTGTCGGTAAAAACCTTTTGTGTAGAGCTGATCTTTCTTGTGTATCTGATGTCTATTTCGTTGAATTTTAGTTTCGTTGAACGTTCACTGCATTTGGTATTTATTAATCTATTCTCAATTTGTGGTTTCTTGATACTCATGTTTGTTGATCGTAAACAAGTGAGTGTTCTCTATTTTGGTGCTATTCTAATAACACCTGTGTATTGTTGTGCATAGATGTATAAAGGCGAGAAAAGATGTCGTACTTTACTTTCGCACATCAAGAAAGAAACGAAGTAGATGACATTAATTATTTTTCTTTTTTCCAGGATTCTACAGTACTGGACAAAATTATATGTTCACCTATATTTTTAATTTTTCTCCTCGACCATAATAGCTAGAACAAATGTGAAAAAGGATTTGAACACCTGAAACAGTTTATAATCAGGTGAAATGTATATGAAAATTCCATTAAAATTCCTGCAAGCCAGGTCTGTGGATAACCAAGATTTTAGAAAATCCCCAAAAGTTGGAATGAAGTGTCGCGATTCTAACGGAAACTTTTTGTAAATAGCCCATTCGTGTAGAGTAAACATTTTTGAATAAAACTAGACGTCACCGAACTCTCGACGACGTCTTTTCATTGAACTGCATTCAATTTACGAAAGGTCCTTCGGTCATTGACTATCATTTTTGCTCTTTTTCTAGCGATTTTGCTGATTGTGACGCGGAAGGGGCCATTTGTAAATTGAATACAGTTCTATGTAAAAACGTCGTGGAGAGTTCAGTGACGTCTAGTTTTGTTCAGAAATGTTTACTCTACACGAATGGACTATTTACAAAAAGTTTCCGTTGGAATCGCGGCACTTGATTCCAAACTTTTGGGGATTTTTTTAAAATCTTAGTTTCCCACAGACCTGGTTTGCAGGAATTTTAATGAAATTTTCATATATAATCTTGAGTAAATATCTCTCTATCTCCACATGTTAGTGATATGAAGCAAATTATGCATAGTTTTCACCATAGTAAGTGGAAAAAGAAAGTGATGATACTAGTCAATTTTATCTCTTTATTTATATGGAAATGAATCGTCAGCGTCACGGTTGGTTAGGCATTGTCACTTGGATACTTTTGATATATATTTGAACTACCCCTATTTTCATTAACTTATAATAATTAGAGATCAGTTAAGAAAGAAAAACTATTTTAACACAATTTAATAGGGATATTCAGCGTTATTTATTACGCTGTTAGCTAATAATGTATGCTATGCCTTAACATATATTAGATCATTTTTTTTTCCGCAGAAAAACACTTTGTACTGTGGGTATGGTGCTATGCCTATACATGCTAGAACCTTCACCAATCTGCTCTGCAAGTTAAAACAAGATCTATCTTTACATTTCTGTGTGTTTTCTGTTGTACTTTTTAATAGAAAAAATTGTTTATAGAAGAAAATAATGTCGTTAGAACTCAGCCACATTGAAGAAGACCAGTTAGAAAAAAATGAATCCTTTGTCGATGATGATGAAAATAAAATTAATCGTTTACTGATTCGAAAATTAGATTTGATTTTGCTACCTTTGCTAAGGTAACTAATGAATATTTAAAATATTTTTTTAGTCTACAATTATTGTTTTACTACTAGCCTTATCTATTTATTATCATACCTTGATCGATCAAATATAGCCAATGCAAAATTAGGTGGTTTGCAAGAAGATATCCATTTAACAAGTATACAATATCAATGGTAATGCTATAAATCAAATATGCTACCCTTTGCAGTCTTTATCTGTCAAGAGTTTATGGTGTACTGCAGTATCTTAATCATTTATGTTATTTTATTCGTAGGAGTTTGTCGATATTCTTTTTTGGTTATGTAATCTTTGAACTACCATCGAATTTAGTCCTTCGTCGATGGCGTGCATCAAGATGGATTGCAATGATCATGTTTGTTTGGGGTAAGTATCTTTATCTGTTCTCTAAATTTATAAAATAATTGTTTGATTTATTTAGGTATTATTGCTGTTTGTATGGCAGCTGTTAAAAGTTTTGCGGGACTACTTATATGTCGATTCTTGCTTGGTGCATTCGAAGCTGGACTATTCCCGGGAGTTATTTATTATATGTCATTATGGTACAAACGAAAGGAACAAGCTGTTCGATTAGGATTTTTTTGGTCATTTAGTTCATTGGCCGGTGCATTTGGTGGTCTCATAGCGTTTGGTATCGCACAAATAAAAGGACCCTTAGCTGAATGGCAAATGATTTTTATTGTAAGTACACTGTAGCAGTTGTTTATAGTCCAGAATTAAGATTAAAACGTAGGATAAAAGTTTTATCATTCCATTCTTTGAATACGCTTGTAGAATAGATTTCTGTATTTCTATTATAGATCGAAGGAACACCAACAATTTTACTTGCTATTTTTTGTTGGTTGTTTTTACCAGATTCACCTGAACGTTGTCATTTTCTAGATGAAAAGCAACGGTCTTACGAGATAAAACGTTTAGCACAAGATGCTGGAGCAGCGAATGATCATTCATTTACTTGGGCACAAGTTCGTTCCGTGTTTAAAGATTGGAAAACGTATGCCTATATGCTCATTTATATAACTGGAACAATAGCATTGCAAGGTGTCACATTATTTTTGCCTACAATTATTGCTGGCATGGGACAATGGAACACTGTTAAAACACAATTAATGACGGTGCCACCATATGCTGTTGCTTTCGTCACTACTATTCTCTTATCATTCAGCTCTGATCAGTAAGTATTCCCTACAAAAAAATTCCATTAAGACCCTAACTTGATATCGGTACCGCGTAGAAATTCGATGCATCTGTGAAAATAGTTGCACCTCTCAAACTATTCGTTATCAAGTGTTTTTTATAATCATTATACGTTAACTATAATCTAACACTGTTAGATTATAGCTAACGTTTTTCTCTATAAAATAGGTTATCTGAGAAATTTGTGTCAGTCTTGAGTTTAACATCATATACTCTTTTCTAAAAAAGTGGATTTTGAATTGTTCGGCATTAGTCAATATCAATGTTTTCATCTTATCAAATGGAAAAAGAGTTAGTGCATGCCTAGTGTTGTTCAGTGCAGATATATAAAGGGTGTCCCACAAGTTCTGAAACGATTTCTAGAACGATGACTTTACAAATCGTTTCAGTAAAAAAAGTTTCTTACTATACCAAACGATAGACAATTGAATTCTCTAAAGATTGTATATTCATTTTTAAGGTTCATCTTTGATGTTTGGCGCAGTAAGTCTAACAGGAAAAACTCCAAATTTTTAACTGCACCACGCAGTTTTAAAGTAGAAACTGCTCTCTTTTTTTAATTACTTAGAATGAGTGCAAAAAGATTTGAAATAATTTTATTACTGTCAAATGGTGAAGAATTTCATGCTTTAAAAAAGCGTTTATTTGAAAGAAATTTATTTCAATTGCTAGTGGCTTTAATACATAAACTTCGAAGTCCACCGAAATTTCTAGCACTAAAAAAAGGTTTTGACTATTCCAGTATAAAATCCAAAGTTCAAATAATTAGTTTATAGACCAAATAATGCAGAATTTCGCGCTGTATTAGACTGTGTAACTTACAAATAAATCTGCTACTATTTTTTTCAGGTAAAAATAGTAGCAGATACTACTAGGGAATACTGGTTGTCGCTAAGATGGCCGAAAAATAGGAGAAAATGACCGTCTTTCTTAAAGACTCTTTTTCGCTCTGATCTCATCTAAAAAAATCATTGTTTGTCATTAAAAAAAACATTATATTGTAGAAAATTTCTTGCTGAATTTTTTGGTATACCTTGTGTGAGGAATCTATACTTCTTCTAGTTATAAGTCCTTGAGTTGATTGTATGCGTGCATTAAGATATGTAGTATCACTCTTTTATTCGACTACTCTTTATCACAAACTACAAAAAACTAACTTCACACAAGAAAAATATTAACATATATATGTACTACTGCATGCACAAAAGATAAGAACCAAAAAAGAACAAAGCGAGGAAAGAACGAAAACAGACAAAGAACAGAACAGAACAAAAGAGAATAGCCCTACCGAAAGAAGTACATACAGGACAGAGAGGTTGTGACAAAGAATCGTCACATACCCCCCCACCGAGATCCGAGTGCCCTCACGCGGATACTGCGGAGTAGGAGTAAAACAAAAAGTAATTAAACCGGAAACAGCTACAGTGCAAGATTAAAATACGATACAGAGAAATGAAGAGAAGGACAAAGAACAAAAAAAATCGACAGGATCGCAAAGACAAAGAAAACAAAAACGGAAAAGCCTAGAGGAAAAATTAATCATAACAACGGGAAGGTAGAAACGGGAAAAAAACAACAACAACAAGGAAAGAAAAACAAACAAACAAAAAACATACGCGCGGAATGATGGAGTTAATGTTTTAATCGAACGAGATGATTTCGGACGTAGTACACGATGACCAGCGAGATGGAGTGGCTGCGGAGACGCTAGGATTCGGTGGTGGAGTGCGCGACGCGGTATGAAGATGAAGAAGATGGAGGATGCGGTGGTGAATCGTCATGCCGTCGGCGGTGAGGTCGAGGAGAAGATCGCGTGAACGGTGAATGCGTGGCGAGGAATACTGGTGCGGAGAAAACGGTGGTGCCAAATATGTGTCTGTAACACCTTGCTTTAGGTGTAGAACAGATTGAGCGAGGTGGGTCGTGATGATAGCGAGAAACGAAATAGTAAATATAAGTTCGTCGACGTCGTCCGAAACTATGGGAGCTGTAACTGGTGGTGGAGAAGCGAAAGAGGAGACAGGCACGGATGACGTGGTTGAAGGTGAAGATGGCATGATGTGAGAGGATATGGTAGTAAAATAGTGCAGCAGATAATGACGATGAGTAAACGGTTAGAACTGGATAAGAAGATGAAGTGAACAATTATGAGATAGAGTTGATGAGTAGAGAGAGAAAGAGAGAAAAAAACTGGTATGAACTTGAAGAAAGTGAATAACCTTGAAAAATGAGACAGGAAGAGTCAGAAGTGTAATGTTAAATTACGTGTGTCTGACCGGTGTATGTGAACGTGGATGATAAGGGTATGAATGATTGATGAGAAGTGTCATTGCTGTGTAAAGGAAAAATGGAAGAAATAAACAGTTTCGACAATGATTAAGTGAGTTTCGTGTATTGTAGGAGAACATATAATACGGAGGACCAGTGGCCTTGACGTCGGACAAAGAAAGAGATACCACAGAAAAGAAAGCGATTAACTATGAGAAGGGAACGCGGAGAATGGAACACAATAGAGTGGTTGACTGGCGTATATGGTTGAAAAAATGATACAAATAAGACGAATAAAAAATAAAAAAAACTCGATGGCAGGGACCAATTACGATAAATAGCAAGTGTTAGATTTGGAAACACGCGCGCTTCGACGCGAGACACATAAACAAGTATGAGGAGGAATGGGTGTGCGATATAGAGGTGGTCAAGTATTAGGACGACCTGTAATAATGGGCAGTGAGGAAGCCTGAGGTATCCGGTAGGGATTAAGACGATCAGCAGTAGTCGTCCCCAGAAGAACACCATCAGATAGACGTTGAATTTGATACGTTGCAGAACCGAGTCTTTTGACAATTCGGCAAGGTCCCTGGTAACGTGGGTCAACTTTGCTAGTTGCCCATTTTCCGGGTAATGGTTTAAGGTGAACGATACCAAAAGCAAGGGGAAATCAGTGGCCCGAACACGACGTAACAAACCATCACCAATAACCAAGCGGTGATGAGAGAGAGATGAGAGTGCACTCATCTCGATGAATGACTCTAGAACAAACAGGAGCTGCGCCAAATCAGGTCCAAGGATTAGATAAAAAGACCTTGGAAGATCTTACAAGATCATATACGATCTTGGGTGATCGTATAATAAGAAATCATAAGATTTCAAAAGATCTTATCAATTTTTATCGATTTCCTATAAGATCTTACAAGATTTCATATGACATCTTGTAGCAAGATTCTTATAAGATTTTACAAGATTTTTCTTATCATAGGAATGTAAACCCCCCCTCTCAAGGAGAGACCTCTCAAAGGGGGGCTTCTATTATGGGAGGGGTTTACAAGATCTTGATGATCTTATAAGATCTTACACAAAGAAGGTATAAGAAATTATACGATCTTATAAGAAGTCACAAGATTTTATACGATCTTACAAGATGATACGCTTGATCATTTCCTGTCGAATCGTCTATACCTCTGCATTTTTCTTTTTCTAATATAATTTCTAACATTTGGCCCTAGGCGGCCACAGGACCGTCTTTTGCCACGTTTCTTAACCATGCACTTCGTATGTGCTCAACTGACGTGTGAAGTT